CGAAAGTCCACAAGGGCTGGCATTACCGGATAAACGTCGTGGATGCCTCAGGGAAGGTTACGTGCGATGCCTTCCTAGACACCATCAACGTTGCCAAGAGGCAGTTCATCTTCTGGGTACGATCCCCATCTCATTGACTTGATATTTAGGAACTGTGCCCCATACTAACTATATACCCGCCGTGTAGAACCCCCAGCTCAACAGTGACTGCTCAAACATCCAGAGCAAGACCTCTTACTGTGCTTTCCTGCCTTCTCATGTCAGTAAGCAGACTCGCGGGCAGATGGACCCTCCTCCGAAAACAAAACCGCTTCCACCAGGTTTGTTTAACGACTGGGGCAACAACCATGCTCAGAAGCGCAATGACCCTCCTCCGAAAACAAAACCACTTCCACCAGGTTTGTTTAACGACTGGGGCAACAATGGTGCTCAGAAGCGGGATGGTCTGTCTCCTACAGGGGGATTGGGGGACTTTCATGGACCAAAAGAAGCTCCTCCACCAGGCTGGGGACACAAGGGCGTGGTTGAGGGTAACCATGGAAAGACAATGAGCACGAGATCACCAATAATGGGAACTGGCCTGCCCGAACAACAATCTGAGCCGGCCTTCATGCCACCACATATCCCTAACCTCCCCAATGGAATGGAGAATAAGATGGTTGTTCATCCTACAACCCTGACCAAGAAACTGAGGCCGACGGGCAGCTACCTCAAGCGTGATGCTAATGCCCCTGCCCCTACACCGGGCTCTGTTGGTGCTGCCATTGTAGGATGCAAACAATACCATACCGTCAAAGCCAAAGATACATGCTTCAATGTCGCTCAGCAGTACCCTGGCCTTCTTTTCAGCGAGTTTCTCAGACTGAACCCGTAAGTGAGCCCTTTTTGCATCTCGATAGGTTTAAATGACTTATCAGTCCGCTCAGCAACCTTGATACCGTCTGTCCAAACCTCCAGGCCAATACACGAGTCTGCGTGAAGGGTGACACAAAAACCAACTTGGTACCCACTCCCTCTGCCGTCGTAGGTGTCCATGCCCGCGATGTTCAGGGCTGGCCGTCTCCCACAAAGCCCGGAACAAACCCAGGCTGTAAGTCAAATTCTTCTCTATCTTCAGAGTCCAACTCAACCAGGATGCTAATTCTATGCAGGCAAGTCGTTTGAATTGGTCAAGAAGGGAGATTCATGTGAGGGTGTTGCCCGCAAGCACCATATCTCCGTCGCCCAGCTCAAGGAGTGGAATCCAGCTGTTGGGCCTACCTGCGAGAAGCTTGAAATCGGATACTATGCCTGCGTCCGTGTCTGATCGGCCATCCTGGCCATCTCGTAGCTGAGCTTTCAAGGCCTCCAGTCCTTCTGCTATCCATAAATTTTTATTTTCTTTTTCATTTAGTTATGGTTCTTTTCTTCTCCCAACTCTTGAGACATTGTGTCCGTCTCTGGCACTCTTCATTTTTAGATTTAGAAATTATCATCTGCCCCTTGGCTAGGGCTTTTATTCCATGGGTATCATCTTCTGCCAGTTCTATTCAAGTGTCTGTCGTTCTAAGCCTGGCTTGCTGGGTATCTTTGCACCAAATCTGATAGTGAAGTGACTTTTGCCTTTTTCGGGACCTCAACCTCAACCTCAACTTCAACTTCTCTCCCCTCTGGTTGACGGTCAACTCCATGCATCTTCACCCTCACATCCAGGCTGCAGTCTGCCGCCTGCTGCCTGCGGCCTGCTTGGTTCCTCAGGCTTCGTGTTTACCCGTCTGCCTGCTACGAAGGACTGCGCTGACGCGCCAGAGTTATCCCGCCTAGGCTGAATACGATGGACGACTCCATCGCCTGCACCAACCCAACCAGCCAGCGCCAGGCAGATTGTCACCGGCTGGGTCGCTCGTTAAACTAGCTGAAGCTGCCCGGAGGGTCCGAGAAGACTCGAATTAATAGTTATCTGGCCTTTGATGCGGCGCTGGCTGTCCTGATCGCCGCCTGCATTTGTGCGCGTCCTCGACTGCGCCCCTGAGTTAGTTATATTTAGACACCCCTATATTACTCCCCCCAGTCAGCTCATAGGTCAACTAACCAGTTGGTTGGTTAGCTAGTTAAACTGACCAGCTAGGCCGGCTAAACACCGACCAACAGCGGCTTTTCCTTTGAGCGTACAGACACTCACATCTCGTGGACTGGGCCACAGTTAACTCTCCTCCCCCACCAGCCGCCCGTTTTCTGACTCCGGCCATCCCTGCCTCAGGACCACTGTTCACCAGGCCGGACAAGCAGCAGACAGACGGAGAGAGAGGATAACTACCAGACCGAAAGGAAAAGACGGCTGCATTTCAGATAGTTGACACTTATCTCTTTTATCCCTCTTTCTCTTCTGCCCTGCTTGCCGCAACTGAAACGCCCCGGGAAAGCCAACACTCATGCAATTCTTCCATAAAAACAAATCGCAGCCGACACTCTTGAATTCCGTGGAGTCGGCTCCGCACAACACCAACGACCACAGCAGCGTCAACAGTCAGAACCACCACCCTCATCATAACAGAGAAGGCAGCCAGCAGCATCAGTATCAGCAACAACAGCAGCATCAACCACCGCAGCAGCAGCAACAGCTATATCAACAGCACCAGCAGCACCAGCAACAACACCCAGCGAACCCCCACCCGCAGCATACTTTCCAACCAGCCACCGGTTCCCACGAGCTGCCCAGTGGCACGTATCAACTTGGCCAGCACAGCAACGCCGCCAGCTATACCCATCCTGCTCATGCGGGAAGTCGTTCTGAGAACTTCTCTCTCCCGCTCCAGGTTTCATCCGGCTCTGCAGCGGCGCCCCATCCTTCAGCAGCGGCAGCGGCAGCAGGTGGCAGGCCGACCTTGAACCTCGTCCCCTCAGCGAGCCATCAGCCTGATCACAGCATCGACGCCCTCTCTGCCGCACCATCACTGCCTTCCGCTCCTCACAGCACTGAAGCTTCCCCGCTTACAGAAACACAGCCGCGCAAATCCCGCCGAAGCTTCTTTAGCCTACACTCAAAGGATAAGGATAAGGATAAGAGCTCCTCCCAGAACCCCGCCAAGCCTGGTCGAAACGTCTCTGTTAGGAAGAAAATTAGTAACCCAATCCCTCACCCAAAGCCGTACCAAGTCGGCCCGCTCCCGCCTTCCGATCCAGCTCTGGACCCAGAGGAGATTGATATTACGGAGAAGAAGCTCCCACAGCTCCCTAACAACTCGTCTCAACCCAGCCTGCCTCCATCCATCTACCCCGCCAGAGGTGCCAGTCGGTCGTCGTCTCACCTCGACATCCAGCCATTTGAGCCTCCCCAGATCCAGCGTGTCAGCACTGAGCCTCTGGGCCAGCACGAGGAATACTACAAGGGTCGGCCGCAGCAATACAATCAGTACCAGGTAGTCGGAGCTTCTCCCCACCAGCAGCAACAGCTACAGCAGAACCCCCAATTCCAAATAGACCAGCCTCAGGCGCAGCCCGCTGTGACATCAACGGCAACACATAGACCAAACCAGTCCTCAGACCAGGTATCAATCCCCCCAAGATATTCGCCAAAACCAGACCCATATCACCCCCCGAGGCCACCATCCCAACAGTCTCTTGGTCCCCCTTCCCCTCTTCACCCGTACTACCAATCGCCGGATTCTAACTATCAAAAACCTCACTATCGACAGTCACTCCAACCCGTTGCTGGCCCTATACTTTCACAAAGCGGAATGGCCCTGGAACGACCAACGGGTCTCAGACAGCCCATTGATACCTCTCAGCAGCAGCAGCAGCAGCAACCACAACAGCAGCAACAACAGCCGCCGTCACAGCAGCAGCAGCAGCAGCAGCAGGCTTCAGGACAGCAACAACAGTTCCCTCCAAGCATGCCACAGGGGCAAAGTTTCAAGGGAAATTCTTCACAGTCAGCAACTCCCGGTGATCGTGAACAAGAGACTCCCCCACCCCCTGGAAAGGCAAAGGACGACGCATCTGAACTTGATGTAAACGGTTGGATCCAGAAATATGAGGAGCTACGTATGTGCCTGTACTTTCGCCCTGGACAACTGTGCAAACTAACCCCTATTATACAGAGCTTAAATATAATCGTGTCAAAAGGTACTACTTCGACAAGGAAGCTCAAGTACAACAACTGCAAAACACTGTTGCCCACCAGCGCATGTCCGCTTCCAGGACTGTGTTAGATGACAACGAATATGCTACTCGCCTGGGCCGTCTGGACGGTGCCATAAACAACCTCTCCTTCAACATTCGCAAGGACTGGAAAAATATACCCCCTTGGCTTCAGGGTGTCGTTAACGAGGATGCTCACACTGTGGGAACGAAGGAGATGACGGCCGTTGGCCGAGCTTGTCTCACACGCTGGATCGTAGACGAACTATTCGACCGTTATTTCCATCCAGGCCTGGAGCCTAATCTTAGCCGTCAACTGAAGCAGATTGAACGAAACGTTCGGCGAATGGGAAAGTTTGTTACCGAGGAAGAGCAAGAGAACCATTTATCCAAGGTGTCTACCTGGCGCCGCACCACTCTTGATGGACTCGGTGATATCTTTCAGAGCAAACTTGCTGACGAGCACCGAACCCTTTTGACTCGAAATCTCGTTGAGAAGCTCACAGCTAGCTTAGAGATGAATTTGAAGACACCTCCTCCTCCTGGGCTAGAGAATGGCGTGGCGATGATTGTTGAGCTCGCCGTTGGAATCAGCGCAAATATACCCCTAGAATCAAGAGACATCTTCATTGAGTATTTCCTCCCTGGCGCTACAATCACAGACTCTCATATGAAAATCGAGACTAGCCTACCACCCCTTTCCAACCCCGGAATAGAGCCACGACTGGGCTCGGAACCATCCTCCGCTGCAACTGATAGGGTAGACCAGTCATCTATCAAGGGAATCGAGGCAGCGATCTCCTCTTCCGAGGCGACAGCCGGAGATGAAAAAGACTCAAACTTCCCGACCCAACCTCAGCCAGCTAGCCAGGGCCGCAAGAAGTCAGTCTTTGGCTCGCTGATAAGCAAAAAGCCACATTCTGGACCTGGGAACTCCACGGACTCCATGCGGCCGCCATCCGGCCATTTCCGAGAACGTGAAGAAGCTGTCGAAGCTGCTCGCGAAAAGGAGAATGAAAACCGTATCCGTTTTGCCGCCTTTGTCGCTGTAGAAGTTCGAGGCAAGGGGGCTGGCAATGTCATTGTCAAGGCCCCAGTCTACCCATTCTCATGATTCATGACTCTCCTCGTTTCTTGTGGGCTGCCTGACCGAAGCCGTTCTCTAATCCTGCCCACTCAAACACGTCGTTTTATACCAATTTTACGTTGTTCTGATGCGTTATACTTGATTGACCACACTCAAAAAAAAGATATGATTTTGTTCACTTCGTTTGACTTCCCCCTTTGACTTGGATATGGTTTGCTAAAGCAGGCAGTATATGTATATACATCCGTGCTCTTTTCTCTTCTTGATCTTTGGAAGCGGATACCTTCTCCTTTCACAGCGGACTTGGGGGATAATTTATGGACTGCCTTTTTCTTCCCCTCTACCACACTGTTCTTTCTCCTTGAGCCCCATGTTAGACTGACTTGATACTACGATGGACTCGATAGGTCTAATGCTGTTCTGGCACGGCATATATTTACATTATGATAGATAGCTATATACGTACTTCACTCCTTTACCTTGACGTACTGCAACCACTTTTGGCTGTTACAGTAATATTAAGCAGTACATCTCAGGACTAGACTAAACTATAGTTCAATGCCTGTCCACGATAAAACCTTTACTACGATACCGGAAGATCGTGGTCTACTCGTCTTAACTGCATGTACAATACTCGCTATACTCGCTGCCCTCGCTGCTTCTTTCGCCCTGAACATTCTGACCAATCAGAAAAGACATATCATGTGACACTTACATAATCACCAAGCGAACGACTTTCCCACGCAAAATCCCAAAGCGGCCTAGCGCGCTTTCGAATCCCACACAAAAAAAAAGACATCACGAGAAACTTCGACTTTCTCCTTTGCGACTTCGACGCAGCGACATTTCTGTTCCATCTCAACCCCAAACCGCCAGACGGCTGATTCGATATTTCATATATCGCCCAGCATGTGTACGTTGACACCCCTTATCTACCCTCTCTGTCCTTCTCTGGTTTCACCGGGGGCCTAGCAGTCGCAGCAGCTGGCCCGGAGTTGGCGGTTGGAGGAAGCGGGTTTGATGAAAATTGATAACATATAATGGCCGTGATGAATGCTGACGGGATGGCGATGATGGTGATATAGCGCTCGTATCCGGCGAAAAGTCGAACTTCCAGTTCATCCTCCGTCTTCTCAACACCAATGTTGACGGAAAGCAAAAGATCATGTACGCCTTGACCAAGATCAAGGGTGTTGGTCGCAGATACTCCAATTTGGTCTGCAAGAAGGCCGACGTCGACCTCCACAAGCGGTACGGCTTCCTCTCCTTCACTCCCCCTGGGTTATTGTTCAGCTTGGATTGAAATGAATATGTATACTTATCTATGCATTTGCTGCAGTGCTGGTGAAATCTCCTCTGAAGAGCTCGAGCGAATTGTCACCATCATCCAGAACCCTACCCAGTACAAGATCCCCACCTGGTTCCTCAACAGACAGCGTGACATCACCGATGGCAAGGACACCCAAGTTCTTGCTAACCAGATGGACAGCAAGCTCCGTGAAGATTTGGAGCGACTGAAGAAGATCCGTGCCCACAGAGGTCTTCGTCACTACTGGGGTCTCCGTGTCAGAGGACAGCACACCAAGACCACCGGCCGACGAGGACGAACCGTCGGTGTCAGCAAGAAGAAGGGTTAAACGTACTGTCTCGGGACTTCCTTTATGTCGGCAGGCGTACTGCATGGTCGGGAGGTCAGGAGGAGGGGAGGAAGGGATGCCATATTCTGCATTTTTTTGTCTTTCTTCTTCTCGCCGATTCATTTTTTTATGAAGTACGTGCGCGGCCGAGCGGGTGGTGTGAGTTATGGGATGAGAAATGTAACGATGAATATCATTCTCGCTCATGAACGGCGGAGAACTAGTTTTCTCTGCTTTGAAGGGAAACGGTCGCTTCTTCAATCTATCTCCTCACCTTGGGCCAATTTCCTCCCCTCCTTTACTGCCCATGGCTGGCGTTAGTCTGATGTATGAAACTACAAAAAATATGAGCGATAATACATGGGATTATCCCGTTTCTTAAAAAGAAAACTCGACTCTTTTACTGGTTTTGTAATCGTCTACGATGGGGGGGATTTTATGGTTATGTGTAGATGTCTAGCAAAGACGCTGGCATTCTGTAGAGCTCTATTGTCGGCTATACAAAGCCTGGGGATGTGTTAAAACAATTCCGAGAAAAATCACAAACCGATCACACGATACTGTATCAGTAACAGTAGGCAAAACAAGTACAAAAGACATTCAAACTATGGCAAATCCGAAACTCCGGTAAGTACGGGTGTGTGTGTGTGTGTGTGCATGCATCCAAATAACAGGCAGACGTCGTCTAGTGCCATTCGCCTCCGAGCCAACGGTTGAAGAACTCCAAACTGGCTTCGGGCTGGTTAAGTGGCACCATGTGGCCGGCGCCAAAGATACGCATGAAAGTGAAGTTGCCGCTGGACTTGACCTGGCCGATCTTCTTGCCCTTGTCCTTGTTGTTCACGATCTTGAGATCTTCCAGCTTGGCTTCAGCAAACTTCTTGTGGCCGGGCCATTCAAGAGCGTCGGTCCAGGCCAGGTTGCCGAGCCAGTTGCAGATGAAGTCGGCATCACCGGCGTAGATGAGGACTGGGATCTTCTCGAGCACGCTGGGGACGAGACGGTGGTATGGCTTCATCCAGTCACCGTGGAAGAGGAAGTCACGGTTAATGCCGCTGTTGCAGCTCTCGTAGGACTGGACCTCGACACCAAGGGCCTGCATGACAGACTCTTGGTTGAGCCACTTGGTGATGGCGTTAAGCTGGGGGTAGCAGAGAGATGCCATGTCCTCACACTTGGTGCGGACGTCATAGGGGTTCATGCCGGTCTGCTGGTAAGGAGCGAGGATGGCGCTGTTGCAGTACATGGCAGCGGGGACACACACCCAAGCGGACTCGGAGCTGTAGCAGGTCTCGATCAGGGAAAGACAACGCTCAAGCGAGTTGTCCATGGAGCGGCAAGTGCCTTGGTCCAAAACAGCAGGGTAGCCGCCCTCGCCGCAGGCCATAGGCCGGTACTGAGGGTACTGGGTCAAGGGGTCAGTCAATCCGTTGCCGATGAGGGCGGACTTGAGGTTGATGTTGGTGTTCTTGTGGGACAGAATCTCGGCAGCAAAGACTGGGATGTAGTGTCCGGCATAGGATTCACCGGAGATGTGGAAGTCCTGGGAGGCATATTCGGGGAACTGCTTGAAGAACAGGGTCAAGAGGGCGTAGACGTCCTTTCCGGCAGCAACGGTGTCGGAAACAGACGAACCACTGTAGGAGAAGCCAACGTTGACTGGCTGGTCCAGGAAGATGACGGAAGCGTTGGAGTTCCAAGAGTAAGGGTTGCTGACGACCTTGAGGTTCTTGTCGATGGTGGCCGGGCCCAGCTCGAGGAACAGGCCGGTCAAGGAAGAGCAGCCTGGGCCGCCGTTGAGCCAGAGCACGACGGGATCGTTCTTGGGGTCGTTGCGAGACTCAAAGAACCCTAGTATCGTAACTCGTCAGCAACCTGATTCATATGTAAACAGGGAAAAAAGCAAAGACATCCAAGGTACTCACAGTAGAACAAGTGCTTGTCAGCATCGTTGTCGTCGAGGTAGCCGCTGTACTGCTTGACGCCGGGGTCGACACCCAGCTTAGAAGGGTCGACAGCCTTGACTCGGAGGTCGTAGTTATGGAGCTTGCCGTCGATTTCGCGGCGCTTCTCGCCATCGGCTCCCTGGACCCAGACGCTCTCGATGTCCGCTCCCCGGACGACATGGTCCCATTCTGAGTCAGGCCGGCGGGTGTGCTTCTTGGGCAGCGAGATCAGAGGGAGGTAGTCCTTGAAGTTGGTCTTCATCTCGGACCAGAAGTGGGAGATGCCATCCTCCAGGCTGGACTGGAACTTCTGGAGGGTCTCGTCGAAGATGGAGGCGTCTCGCTGGGGAGCCTGGCCATGGCCGTCTTCTGCCTGGAGGACATGCTGCTCCTGGGCGGCCGCGAGGGCAGCGGTGGCCAGAAGGCCGGTGGTAAGAAACTTCATGGTGGTTGTTCTGCTACTTGATGTGAGGTTGGTTGGTGGTAGCAGAGAGTGAAACGGGAGGAAGAAGAAGAAGAGGAAGAAGGACGAGGGCGCGGACGAGGGAGCCCGGCAAGGTCGAAGAGAAAGGCTGGGGAAAGGTAGTTCCTAGCGCCGGATGACGTTGGCGATCGATGCCGGGCGGTGGAGTTTTGGCTGTGGCGGCGCCCGATGACTCGTAACTTGGACGGAGAAGCTCTTCGCTGGCCTGCAGGCGGTGATTCCCCAGTCCAGAGAGATGTCGATAATCTTCACTTGAGTGTCCTCCGTGCTCCGTACTCCGTGCTCTTCTTGTATGTTCTTCGATGGTCGTTTTTTTTTTGAAGGTGAAAAAAGTGAAGAAGAAAAAGAGGAAGAAGAAGCAAGTGTCACGTGGACAGTGTTATCTAATCAGAAATATCTGAGTTATAGTCATGTCATGTGATTTATGCCTCGGCCCGCTCCTGCAGGGGATCCGCCTTGGGGCTTCCAGGGCTTCCACCCAGTCTATATGGAGTCTTTTGAGCAGCGACAAGCAGCAGTCTGGGACGCAGAAGAATAGTTGTCTGTCTCCGGAGTATCCCTACAATGGTCGCCTTGGGCTAGGTTCTGCAGCTGAAAGGCTAGGATGGATGCAAGAAGCCGGCTAAGGCAATGTTGTGGTTGTTTTTACGGGGATACGGATGTTGTGTTGCTATTGATGTCGATGTAGAGTTCTCAAGTCCAAGTTTTTCGACGATTGACAGCCACATGAGCCTTCATCGCAGCATCGATGCAGCTGGGTCTCCCTCTATCTACGGAGTAGTTAATCGATGGATGCATGGCTGCCCCTGGACGGAGAAGTTGCTCTTGTTGCTTTCTCTTTGTCGCTTCTCTTGTTGTGATTCGTCGGTTGGCTCATGCTGAGTCATCGACGAGTAATAATACACGTGACTGCTTATCGTCAGCACACGTGACTCATCTTATTGCAACTTCCTTCTTTTTTGCTGCAAAAAGTTGAAGTCGAAGTCGGAAGTCGATATTATATTATTTATATTTATATTGTTGTTTCTATTTCACGGCGTTGAGCTGCTCTTCTGATACAAAGGAAATTATAAAAGGAAAGAAAGATATTTCAATAGATTTAATATATAAACTGAGACTCGTCAGAGCAATACCGCCAAAATGCCGATGATAATGCAACCGTCGAACCAGATAAAATTCACAAATGTGTCGATCGTGCGGTTAAAGAAAGGTGGGCAGTGAGCAGGAAAGACAGAGAGAGAGAGATGATGATGATGATGATGATAGCTAACTTGGGTTTTAGGAAAGAAGAGATACGAACTGGCCTGCTATAAGAATAAGCTGCTAGAGTACCGATCTGGAGCTGAGACAGACCTGGACAATGTTCTTCAGATCCCCACTGTTTTCCTCTCCGTATCCCGAGGCCACACTGCGCCCACAGCAGAGCTAGCCAAGTCGTTTGGCAAGGATTACAAGATAGAAGATGTCATCCAGGAGATCCTGCGCAAGGGTGAGGTACAAGTGGGCGAGAAGGAGAGACGGGATATCCTCGATCGGGTCGAGAAGGAGGTGTTGGAGATAGTGTCTGCCAGGCTGGTCGACCCTGTGTCGAAACGCGTCTACACCACAGGGATGATTGGTAAAGCGCTGGACCAGTTGAGTGCTGCCAGCGGACAGCAGCAGCAGCAGCAGCAACAACACCAAAACCAACAACAACACCAACATGAAACCGCAGAGGCAGAAGGAGACGAAGAGATAGCGAAGAAGACAGCAGATCTGACGCTCACCCCGCGAAAACCGCTGTGGACGGGCGTCACAACTTCAAAGTCAGCGAAGATCCAAGCCCTGGACGCAATGAAGGCCCTGATCGCTTGGCAGCCTATACCCGTCATGCGAGCCAGGATGCGTCTCCGTATTACATGCCCTACTTCTATACTGAAACAGCCCGTCCGGACAACGCCATCCTCGACTGGTGCATCCGGCAACGCAAGCAGCGCGCCCTCATCGTCCAAAAAGGAGAAAGGCAAGGGGAAAAAGGGTAAGAAGGCCGCCGCTGACGACGACGACGAAGAGGACGACCAGAGTAAAGCTTCTGCGTCTCCCTCTACCCCGGCTCCAGCTGCGGCTGCGGGGACCGTCAAGGACCGGATCCTCAGCTACCTGGAACAGATCGAGTCGCAGGAGGTGATAGGCGGCGACGAATGGGAGGTCCTGGGCTTTGCGGAGCCGGGGGCCTTCAAGGGGCTGGGTGAGTTCATCGGCGGAGAGACCAAGGGCAAAGGCCGAGTCGAAGTGATGGACATGGCCGTAACTCACGAGGAGTAGATGTGTCATTTTTGCCATCTATACGACTAACGAAGGAATGTTTATTATCTATATGCGACTGATAGGAATAAAATAAAATAATAAAAATGGGAATATATATCTATCATGATCTGCTCTATTGTAACTCCATGCTAACCGGTGTAGATGTCCTGTTACCCCCCCAGCGCCGTGGTCTATATAGATGCCCGTACTCCCAATGGTTCTTGTAAGATAAAAAAAAACAATAACAACTAAAACAGGCCGTCCGTAGGTCGTAAACTCGTGTA